ATCTATGGTTTTTCCAGTAGCGATGTATGGAAGTGAGAGCTGGACCATAAAGAAGGCTGACAGCCGAAGAACTGATGCTTTTGAATTGTGGTGCTTTAGGAGACTCTTGAAAGTCGCCTGGACTGCAAGGAGAACAAACCTATCCATTTTGAAATAAATCAACCCTAAGTGCTCACTGGAAGAACAGATCTTGAAGCTGAGGCTCCAGTACTTTGGCCATCTCATGAGAAGAGAAGACTCCTTGGAAAAGACCTTGATGTTAGGAAAGTGTGATGGCAAGAGGATAAGGGGACGACAGAGGATGAGATGGTTGGACAGTGTCATCGAAGCAACCAACATGAATTTGACACAACTCCGGGAGGCAGTGGAAGATAGGAGGGCCTGGCGTGCTCTGGTCCATGGGGTCACGAAGAGTTGGACACAACTAAACGACGATGAAGTATCCCCCATCTTGTAACTGTGTCATTGTGTCAAACATGGACACACAACTGTTTGAAGAGGGGGAGGCTGCCAAACCTAGACAGCCTCTCCAACCTCAAAACCTCAGGATCTGATGGAGCAGGCTACCCAGCTAAAGCATCCTCTTCTTCCTCAGACCACTGCATTTCCATGTTCAGAAAGATGATAGACAGGGTGTGGCTATCATGCTTCTTTCAATGTATGTGGGCTCTATATATTTTCTTAATCACTAAATTTGGCTTTACGCTCCATCAATTTCACCTAGAAAGATTTAAGGATATACTTAAATTTTGAAACTAAAATTAATGGGATTTAAAATTGTTAAGTCAAGCAACTGTGTGCAGTGTACCTAATATTTTAATGAAAGTTTCATCAGTTAGCTAAAGATGCTGACCAGCTGATTTTCCAGGAGGACTTTCAAGCAACTGGCAGTTTCTTTGACACATTTTTTTTACAACTTCCTGCAGTGCAATATACTACTTATCCATAAAACATCCTTACCACCATGTGACCACTAGGGGAAAATGTTGCAACTTTTTTTAAAAAAAGAGATTAAAAAGGTAAAGGTTCCCCTTGACATTTTTAGTCCAATCGTGTCCGACTCTAGGGGGCGGTGTTCATCCCATTTTTCAAGCCATAGAGCCAGCGCTTGTCCAAAGACAGTTTCCGTTGTCACATGGCCAGCACAACTTAGATTCGGAACGCTGTTTATCTTCCCACTGAGATGGTACCTATTTATCTACTCGCATTTACATGCTTTCGAACTGCTAGGCCGGCGAGGAGCTGGGACAAAGCGATGGGAGCTCACTCCGTCGTGTGGATTCGATCTTACAACTGCTGGTCTTCTGACCCTGCAGCGCAGGCTTCTGTGGTTTAGCCCGCAGCGCCACCACGTCCCAGTTTTTTAAAAAAGAGAATAGTCAAAGGCAAATAAAAGACAGATAAATTTGTCGAGGCCACGAAGAAGAACAATAGATAGTTACCAGTATGTACATAGGAGATGGATCCTTGTGTAAGGTCATATTGAGAAAACCTATCCACTACCAAGTTATCCTTTTTAATCACTCCATGCTTGGGAAGCCGAGCAATCATGTAAATCAGCCTGGAGTCATCACTGTCAGCATCTGTTGCGTACAGGTATTCGGTAGTAATGAACACTCGACCTCCTTCCAGGCATTCCAGATTTGATTTTAATCCAGCCTGCAGTTCTGGTGGCTCATCATTAACTGGTATGACCTTAAATGAGTAAAAAAGAGAAGACATCACTCAGGGCTAGAAGGAACTTTTTGGCTTTAACAGTGCATCACAAATTCCATTCTCATGCCTTAGAAAGTGAAAACCAGTGAAATGCTCACTTCCACTGGACGGGCAAATCTAGAATGTTGGCCATCAGGAGCACAAACTCCACACCATAAGTCCTTGCAGAAATATGAGCATTTTGTTATGAGGCACCTGGTCTGTGCCATGCCAATGGTACAATGGAAACAAATCAGTTATTTTAATAGCTATGGGTTGATTCAGTCTTGGTCCAACACGGAGAAGAGATCAGGGAAAGACAAAACAGGTGTGCATAGTTGGGAATTGTGATTTTTGGAAAATGGAAGCAAAGGTTTTGTTATGGCTGTTGTAGCTTTTTTTGGCTGTTTGGCTGTGCTCTGGAGGTTTTTCTTCCTAACGTTTTGCCAGTCTCTGTGGCCAGCATCTTCAGAGGACAGGAGTTAGAACTCTGTGTTCTGGTGTAGGATAGTTGAGTATTTGTGGCTGTGGGATCAGTTTTTGTTCTTTTCAGGATACTGGGTGATTATGGTGATCAGGATGTTTTTTGTAATGGGTCTATTGTTGTGATAAGGAGGAGAGATGATCTGTCACTGTGATTGGTGGGTGTCGTTAGCTAGTCTTTTGTGTGCAGTATGCAGTCCTTGTGGTTGGGTAGAGTTCATTGACCTTTTTGCAGATTGTATTTTTCAGTGCTGAGAGCCAGACTTTGTTGACAAGGGACCCCTCACCACTGCAGGAGTATACCAGATACCTTGCAGTTGTGGCCAAGACATTGCAGACTAAAACAACCGGGGAAATCGGCAATAGCTGGACATGCCCTGAAACAAGCTGGACATGAAATCCTATTTCAAAATACAGAAGTACTGGACAACACCAGCAATCATTATGTTAGACTACACAGGGAAGTCACTGAAATCCACAAACATCAGCAAAGCTTCAACAAAAAAGAAGAAAGCCTAAAACCCAACAAAGCCTGGCTCCCAACACTGAAAAATACAGCCTACAAAAAGGTCAATGAACTCCACCCAGCCACAAGGACCAGTGATCACTGCACACAAAAGACTAGCTAACAACACTCACCAATAACCTCCCCCTTATCACAGCAATGCACCCATAACAAAAAACTCCCTGATCATCATAATCACCCAATCTCCAGAAAAGGACAATAAACTGATCCCACAGCTTCAAATACTCAATAATCTCACACACTACACCAGAATACAGAGAGAGTTCTAACTCCTGACCTCTGAAGATGCCAGCCACAGAGACTGGTGAAACGTTAGGAAGAAAAACCTCCAGAACATGGCCAAACAGCCAGAAAAACCTACAACTATCATCAGATCCCGGCCATGAAAGCCTTCGAGAATACAAAGGTTTTGCTACTTTTTCTTGCAAGCCAGGAGGGGAGAAGCATGGAAGTCCATGGCTTCATGTGTGACATCTAAATACCAAAGGTTTTAGGTTATTGTTTTAATCAAAATTCATTGTCTTCAAGTTTGATCATGGCAAGCCTTTCACAGCTTTAAGAACTTGATTAAAGAATGGTCAAAGACAATTTTAACTATATCTAAGCTCTGCTAATAATTCATGTTATACCCCTTCTGCCTGCAGCACAATATAATGTTAGAGCTTGGCTGTTTTTTTACCCATTAATTTTTTTAAAGGAAGTAGCAAGTACCCTTTCCAAAACAAAACACTTGCTATCTTTTTCCTAGGCTATTTCTAGTTGTTGCTTTAGTAGAATTTAAAGTAAAACAGGCTGGGAAATGAATTTCAGGAAAAGGAATGCTAGAAGAGGGAGATGACTTAAAGCTTGGAGACTTCCCAGTCCTGGGTGGCTGTATTCTCTAGTTAGCCAAGCTTTACCCAGATTATGATCACATTTACTCCGATTCCTTCTGCGCTCTTTTATACAATCAACTGGCAGAGACGTAACTGGCCTTTTCCAACATTTGCCTGAGCTGCCTAAAATATATCACAGGAGCCCATTCCTATCATATCACAAGGATCTATGCCTATGGCATCACAAAGCCCTGCATGTGGTCTCAGGTACTGCCCCCAAGACCTCAGGGAATGGGAGGCTGCTGATCTGGCAACCCAATATGTTGTGCATAATGCCTGCCCAAGCTGGCCGTAGTCCTGCCCTGAACTGGTCTGTACTGCTAAGAGGGACCAATTCTCCTTGAGAGTATCCAAGCTCTAGAAAGGTTGGGTCAAATTAAACTGGTACTGTACCTCTATGCAAGCACTTAACTATAATAACATCTGCAACATACAACAGGCACATTTGCAGATGATCTGGAGTTCGACTAGGGAAGGGGGGAAATACTCTGGATTTGGCACTAACAGGTCAATGGGTACTTTCTGGGAAAGCTCATCTCTTTCCATCAAAATGTATCTCCACTCATCTCATTCTCATCCCCTTTACACATTTGGCAGGAAACCTGATTTTAATACATAGGTCTTCTGCTATCATGGCTGGCTATGTTATTAACTCAGGGCTATTGCCAGGGCATTTCATCCATAGCCGGTAGACCTAATCTAAACAGAGATTTTTGTGAGAATCAAAGGAGAGGATTAATGGCAATTAAAAAAAACTACCTAGTGAAGCTGAAGAAACCAGTATGTGATTAATACCTTCCAATTATACTTTCATAACATATATTGCTGAGTTGTTATTACCTGTACGCTTAACGTCCCATCTGCGGTGTTAAATCCATCTGTTGCTGAAAATATGACTCTATCTTCAAGGGTTTCTGAACTGTCATGCTGATACCTTTTAAGCATAATTATGAAGAAGTTGGACACTCATTCATTACAGTTTGGAACAAGTGAGCTGGGCAAGAACAGAGGCTATCAACTTCCATATTTACAGCTCATAGCCTTAACGTATTTGGACCCTGGCCACATCTCCATTTGAGAGAATCTGCTCAGTTCTAGTGGGATTCAGTAACACTAAATGAGTTACATCAGGAGGTGGTAAGGCAATAACCACAATACATTTCTGTCTTGGATAGCAGTCAGACATAGATAGCTAACAGCTGTTGGCTTACTGTGACATACATCTACATGGGAGCCATGCAAAAATTAAAACAATAGGAAGGATTTCATAAATAAGGATTACATCAGACAATATTCTGGATATCCATGGGGTTCTTTGGGACCTTATTAGGGTTTCTTAATTAATTTACTAACACAACTTGTAGCAGTTGACTAGTTTTGATGGCTTATCTCGACATGTTGAGTCATGTGTTCTTGCTGTGAATGAGAAAATTTGTGGGTATTCATTACTCCCTTAATGTACACAGATGAGTGTTCAATACGATTCAAATACTCTTGGTTTGGATCAGTCCCTGAGAATCAACTGATCCCTGACTCAGCACTTTTTGTGAACTGCTGAGCACAGGGGGTCTCTTGAGAAATTGCTTAGTGGATCAGCTGATGTGGAAGTCAAACTGTTGGATTAGGATGACCATACGTCAAACCCCACTCAGTTCCCTTGATACTGCTACCCTTGCTCAACCTATATGCAACATATTTTAGTCTCTACACATTTTAAAGCCTTTTTGGGAGGCCACAAAGATCCATAAAAGGCAATACAAAATACATTTGTATAAACATCAAAAGATACAATCATTCAAATATCTTTATACTGGAATATATAACCAATACATGTATACTTTGAGAGAAATTTGACAACAGAAATTTCAACAGACTGTTCTCTTTAAGTAACTATGTACAGGTCACATACTACATTTGGAGCTGTGTGTCCTCTGTATGGGCAATTGGTTAGCTACCTGCTCATACATACTTAGATTCCCACAGCTTAGCCCACCTCCCACATTTGCTATCTTAGTTTAGGGGAAAGCTATGTTTCTCCTTTATTGAAGTTTGCCTGTCACTACAAGAAAACTATGGTTTGCCAAGAACCTGGACTAAAAAGAAAGAATCTAATCATGTAACAGCAGGACGGAGCATATAGGGAGAACATTCATTCATATAATGCCAAACCCTAGCTCACAGTTGCATCTGAATCAGCTGCTCAATTATATGCCTGAGGGCACCTATGAAATATGTGGCCAAATGAAGACTTGAGATAGGATTTTCCATGCCAAAAACCCTGCACTCTGGGCACTGTAGCCAGAAATTAAGAGCATTCAAATTTAATATCACATCATTCTGAATATTCAACCAAGATTCTAAAAACCAACAAAACCCAGTATTTTTTTAAAGTCACAGAATCATCTTACTACTCATTATAGTCATTCACAATGAATATATATGCATATTACCGAACTTTGGAAGAATGTAAATCCCAAAGGGTAAATTTCTCTGCCTCCAGCATGGCAACTCCATGTAGTTCGATGTGTCCATGTAAAGGTGATTTCTTCAGTTCAATTTGGATATCACTGGTCTTTGTGTCCACATCTGTAACCAGTAGATGCTTTGCAGTGATGAATGAACTAGCACCTTCCTCTACTTTCAGATGACTGGTGAAAATCTAAAACAATCGTAAGTTCATAGAATGCACTGCAGAACTGTAAGAAACAGCATGCCAACATAAATGGACAACAGTGTGTAACAACATATGAGCATACAGAGCTGAATTCCACTAAAACAACAGTCCAATATACATGGAAAGAGTGCATGTAGGGACATAGTAGCTAGCTAGATGGTAGCTAGCTGGATGGATAGCTCAGTGAATTGGGTACCTGGCTGAGGAGTCAAGAGTTTGATTCCCCATTGTGCTTCCCAAGAGAACAGCCAGCCGGTGTAGCTTTGAGCATGCAGCACAATCCCATGGCAATTCCAGAGGGGAATGTTAAACCACTTCTGAATACTCTATACCTAGAAGAGCTTGGAAAGGCTTGCCATAAGTTGAAATTGACTTAATGGCAGATAATTATTAATTAGCGAGCATATGGAGCTGCTTTATAGGAAGTCTGGCTGCTGACCAAGTGTTGCTATCCTACTAGAGATTCTTTTAGCAGATGATGCTGACAGCTGAACCTGTGATCTTCAATATCAAAGTGCATGTTCTGAGGTACGATATCTCCTTTATAATGTCAAATTTCACATAGTAATGCAGAATTAAATTTTTGGGAGGGCTGTGGCAGGAGGTGAATGAAAACTCAATCAAAGTGGTTTGTGTCATAATCCTTTATCTGATGTATGGTGAGGAAATCAAGATGGCTGGTTTACCACTTACTCACAATTCTTACCACAGTCTAATCTCTCAGGTATGTAGTCAACCCAAAAAAGGGCTGAGCAATTGAGTAGTGACTGTCATTCAAGAAGGCTTACTAGTTTAAAGTTTGTGTTGTGATGTAACACTATAATAAATCCAAGTCCTGAATCCTTAAAGCATCTCCCAATAGCTATGTAGCAATTTTAACCATTATCTGCAATTTATAATGTAGCTGGAAAGCCTGCATGAAAAAGATCCTGGCCCACTCATTCCATTTTTTTTTTTGGCCCACTCAGGAGGAAGGAAAGGCATTTAGCACCTGCTTATAAGCCAGAATATGCCTGACCTTGAGTCATTAATCAAACAGCAGGTAGAAGAAAACCATTAAGATGTACTTGTTTTCATCATGTCACTGACAAAATAACATTCCCACAGACCAATCTCATATACTGACAGTACATAACACAGAGCTAGTTATCTCTTTCTTGGCTTTCAGCTTAAAAGAAGACTCTGCTTTCCTTAGCAGATATCCCAAAAGACATATGGCATCTTTCTATTCTTATATTATCTTTTCCTAAAAAGGTACTGAAATGGTAAGAAGGCTAACAAATATCGCAGTCTACCTTCTGAGGTACAAGGAAGATTATATAGAATTCTCCTTGAAAAGAAACAAGGATAACTAGCTGCCCACTTATGGCAGAAAAAAGGAAATACTGTGGTCCAAATATCCTGAATTTAGAAATTAAGCTGCTCCACGCTATGCCCTGATACTCTGAGAAAGCAGCTTTTCTAATTCATGTGAAATACTCTTCTTCCATGTGGGTTGTTTTTAAAAAATCTAACAGCTCATGGATTGGGAAAATAAGCTTACCTACTGTAGTGAACATTTTTTTAAAAATGGAAGTTTAGAAAGCCTTAGTTAGAAGTATGAGAGGCTCAGCTCACAGAACGGTTCCAAAAATACTTGAACTTTTTATAATGGTTGTCTCTTTTTTTAAAAAAAGAAAAAGAGGATAGCTCATTTTCCGTCTGAACAAACTCCTAGCTATTATTTAGGGAATAGCATCAATAATTTAACATTAAGAATCTCTCCACTTGCTACAACTGCCTGAATAAATTGCAGCAAAGGAACTTGGTTTCTTGTTCCGTTTATGGACTTCAAAAGGAAATACCATGCATAGAGAGAGTAAACACTGCAGTAATTGTACCAATGCATGGACTTCGATTTACAGGAGCAGTGTTCCAGATGTTTTGGGCAGTCCATACTCACTGGCAATACAG